AAAAATAAAGACTAGAACCTTCCATGGCTCACAGAGCCCTGCTTGATCCATGCACATCTTCCCTCCAAGCTTATGTTCTTCTTTGATTCTTCTCAGTAGCCTTATTCTGCATCATCCTCTTCTACCTTAGGGCCTTTGCACATGGCATTCTGTCAGGCTGGAAGTGTTTCCAGCTCCTCTGCCTGATCAATGCCCACTCTTGTCTCTATTTCAGGTCAGATGTCATTCTTTAGGCAAGTATTCTCTGACCAACTGGCCTTCCTATGAAACACACCATAGCACTCTATCTGTTCCTTCAAAACACTCTAAATTAGTTTATTCAGTTGATTAAACAAATGAATCTGTCTTTCACATAAGAAACAACTTCATTTTTCTCCCATCAATCATTCCACTCAAATTTTGTTGGATCTTTCTTCCCTGCCCTTTCATGACATCTCAGGCAAATTCTTTAGCTTCTAGTGACTTCATGAACAATTTCATCAGTTCATGTGACTCATTTTTAGATATTTCACATCTAATCTAAAGTCTGTCCACTCTCTATGGCTTCAGTTCCAGACATATTGTACCCTTCCACTCTTGGCACCTCTAGAGTCAGGTCAGAGGGTAAGAGAATTAGAAAAAAGTGATCAAATATTTAACAAGTGCCACCTGTATGATTCTTTCTTGCCTGCCAAAGCCTGCTGTGGGTCCTAGGTATCAAGTGCTAGCTGTCTCCAGTGGCTTGTGGGCTCCCATGCTGCCCTGTTTTCTGGTGTAGGTGATCCACAACCCAGATGATAGCTTGCATGACCCCCATACTCGCTCAACTTCTGTGTTCGGTGACATTTCACTGGCTTCCTCACCCTGGAAGGACTCCATGTTGACTCAAAAGACCCTATCTGAATGGCCCAGTCCCAGCAGCCTTCCTCAGTGCCATCGATTCCCTAGGACACTTGCCTCTCCATGGCTACCCATGCCCTGTCTCTTGTCTCTAGTCAGCCTCCACCTTCAGAGTTCCTTAGTGTCTACCATCACATCCACAGCAAGGGTCAAGCTCCCCCACCGCCTTTTTATCATCTCTCTCTCTCATCCTAGGACAACCTCACAGCTCTCAGCTCACAGCTCAGTAACATTCCATGGAAAGGCATTTCCTCTCGAAGGCACTTCTGATCTTTTCAGTGATTTCTCTTGGGGTCCTTGTCACTTGGGTAGGAGAGGGACACTCCTCCTTTCCCTCAACTCATAGGAAGGAAGAGAGAGACACTTCAGCATTCCCTATCAGCTAGCAATTCTCCATCTCAATGGCTCTCCTCAAGAATTAATCTCTTTTGAATTTCTAGCTTTTTGTTACATGGATTGAAAATGAATGATTGTTACTGTAAGATCCGGCTAATTCTTAACAAGTCCTGAGCAGATGTGTGGGCACTGATCACCCATTTTTCTCTGCTTTGGTTCCTCAACTGAAATTCCAAGATGATGGGAATTCCCAGTTAACATCCTATCAAACACAGCTCTGTGACTATTTAATGGATGTCTATCTTTCCCACTAGATTTTTGCACCTAGAAGGAATCTCTTTATGTTTGCTCTAAAATCAAGCATTCTGCATCTGTCATAAAGTAACAACTCAACAAATACATGATGAAGTAATTAATAAAAGAACAAGATGAGTAACAGAGAAACCAGTTGTGCACCATTGAAACTCTCTTGTCTAGAAATACTGAGAGGACATCATTTGTAGACAGAGCAAAAATCCCCAAAGCCTAGCTGCATCAGAATCACCCACAGAGCTTTGAAAATATACAGATGCCTGGTCTCAATCCCCTAGTGTGCTAATTCAGCAGATCCAGTTCAGAATCAGTGAGCTACAGTGCATAACATGTTAGGAGTGTTCCAGGGGAGACTTGTACCTGACTGAGAGAACCAGGAAGAGACTTTCTGGAGAAACTCATGCATAAGGAAGATATAGGCAAACTGATGGAGAGATAGGCATGGGGAGGATGTGATTAGCTGGGACTTGAAGCCACAAGACATGACATAAGCAAGGCTCTGGGGCTACAAAGAAAAGATTGGATTCCTAAGAGAACTCAGTGCACCTGTATGGAAGAGGAGGAAGAAAGTGCTGTGCAGTCTGCCTAGTTGCAAATTGTCTGGATGCAGAAACCTGGTCTCCTAAAGTTAGCAACAACCTAGGAAGGAAATACATGGATAGAGGTGAGGTGTGAGATATGCTAACCATGCATCTAGTTGCCTACATTGCTTATCTACAAAAGGAGGAAAAGAAAATCACCCTCCTCCGCAGGGTGTGTGGATTGAAGAAGCAATGCTTGTAATGTCTTAACCCACTGTTTGTGCTCAGTATAGAGAAGCGAGAGCCGTCTTCTTAAAAATAACTCTAGAAAAATGGTGCATGCCCGTGTGTGTGTGTGTGTGTGTGTGTGTGTGCGCGTGAGAGAGAGAGAGAGAGAGAGAGAGAGAAAGAGAGAGATCAGTTATATGCTGAGCCAGTTTATAACAGCCAGCAAGGGCCAATTCTACACATAGCTTCACAACATTGCATTCAGTAAATGTCAGGTTGGTACCTTGAAATTGGCCATAGTGAATTATTACAAACAAGAACCTACAAAAGCTACAATTCTAAACTTTATTTTTTACTTTTTGAAAGCTAGCTTACTAGTACACTGTTAGTTGTTCTGAGATCACTGAGCAGATTTGACTGAGTTCACTTCAGTTGAAAAGTGAGTGAAAACTACAGGAAAACAAAAACACATGCTGAGAGGGAAACCACCAGCGTAGGAAAGACAGCATAAGACCTTGGCCTTGTAGTGATTGGCAGTAAAAATGAGAATCTGACCTTTGGCACTAAACCAATGCTCCCTTCAGCATGTTTTTCTACCCACCAATTTTCATCACTGCTTCTAAAGTAAGTGTGAAAATAACTGAGGGAAATAGACATTGAAGAATTTTATCCACATCTGAGGTCTGAATGTTTTACAATACGGTTTCAAAAATTCATTCCCTGTGTATAGAAAAAGTAAATCCAGGAAGACACAGATTGTATTGTTATCTGAAATGAAAACCAGTTTTTAAAAAGGGAAAAATTGAATATTGTAGAACAGAAAAAATAACTGTAATACTTTAATGATACAAGAAATCTTATTGCCAAAAGTGTAGTAAACACAAATATGGAATCATGATAATAGAGGTTGGCACATGTTAGAACAAGGGGAGGGTGGACAAAGGAAGGTTGGATTTAATCAGTGCTCACTGTATATCACATTGCACCCCAATACTTCATTAATTACTACATGTTAATCAAAAAATATTTTTAAATTTTTAAATTTTTTATTTTTAATTCAGTAAACAATATTAAAAGGAAATTAGAGGAGGTATGAATGACACAAGGACATAAATATAAGTATCCATAATTTATACCAACCCTTGGCCAAATGAAGGCAGAAGGAAGAGAACACACCTATCCTGTTATTGATCAAAAAAATTCACCCAAGTTCCCTGGCGACATTTTTCTATTCCAAAGAAAAAATAAGAGAAGTCCTTTTAATGACAAAAGTCAGCATACAGGACATGGTACCTCACACCTGTAATCTCAGCTACTTGGGAGGTGGAGATTGGGAGGATTGAAGTTGGAGGCCAACCTGAGCAAAAAGTTAGTGACATCCATCTCAACAAGCAAGCTGCAGGCAGTGGATTCACACCTGCAATCCTAGTACAAGGGAGGCATAGGCAGAAGGATCAGAGTCTGAGGCCCTGGGCACAAAACAGGAGACTCTAGACAAAGAATTGCTAAAGTTCAAAACTGCTGAGAGCATGACTCAAGCAGTTGGGCACCTGTCTAGCAAGAATGAGGCCCTGAGTTCAGACCCCAGCACCACCAAAAGAGGAAAATGTAGGAAGAAGAGGAGGAGAAGTGGGGGGGAGGAAAAGAAGAATCCATCAGTTGTGAAACTCTACATGGTAAAATTCTATTCTCACTTAGAAAGAGAAAGTGATTAGCTTCTACGCTTAAGACATTGTTTCACCGTGCCAGGATAGCATTCGGATTTTGAAAAGCAAAAAATTCAAAAGATCATTTTCTCCAGATCAGACAATAAAGCTTATCAGAATGGGGAGCCCACTGAAATCTTTGGTCCTACGCACAGACAGCATTCACACTCCCAACTCAGAGAACAGTTCTTTCAATTAGAGAAGAATGAGGGGAAAAGTAAGATTAAAAACAAGATTTTTTTCAGTCACTTAATCTTCATAAGTGACATCATGAATTATATATTGCTGTTGCCAAGGAGATATAAGAAACACATATCAGAAGGAAACAAAGAAATTGATTGCATCAAAGATGGGTTTGGATAATCATTCTGCCTTTTGAGTTGTTACGATCAGATCTCTGTTGGAACAAAGGCATATTAGTCTAAAAGTACTCAATCATTTACCCATTCAGCAAAGAACAAAGAAAGCATCAGGACAGTACTCATAGCCTTCTTTCTTCTTGCAGCACATAGCATGAAGGGCCATTTTCCTGCCACATTTAGTAAAAATCAAGACAGAGTTCTTTGTTAATCCATGAAACACCATCCTATGTCTAGAATCTAAAGATTCTACCTCAAAAATTCAAGAATAGGAAACTATTCTTTTCTCCAAGTTAAACAACTAATTTCTACTCAGTGAGCAATTTTTTTCCTGATCCATCCACACAATGGAAAAACAAATGAAGAGTGAAAAAATTAAATAAACAAATCTGAAGAAGAGGCCACGGCACGCAGGATGGAGAAGTTTCTAAACTTACCAGGCAAGGAAAGCAAGCACTTAAAGTGTATCCCAAACAAAACCATCATTTTTACTGGTCTACTGAGTGGAGTCGCACGGGATGAGTAACTTCCAGGGCCTCTGGCTCTTTGGGGACAAATGAGAAGATTATTTTTAGCACAACTACTTGGAAATCTTTGAGAACTTGGACCTGCTATTCTCTCTGGTACCAAAGCAAGTTTTTCTCTGAGCGCTTATGAAAGTTCCTCAGTGTCTTGTGCATTGAGAATCCTGCAGCCACGCACTGTCCCAGAGCACGGTATGGTGTTTACTCTCTTTTTAAAAATTTTGGCAAATATAGAGGCAATGGCCTGTCTTCCATCGTGTGGATTTTTAGCTTACTAAACAGGTGGTTTTATAGGAAGAACCCAGGAAATGGAAGGCCTGGGTCCAAGACTCTGGTCTGCTACTAGTTGTCAACCATGGACTCTGGTCCCTGGACCTTGGTTTCCTGCATAATCTACCATGAAAGAGTTTTTAGGAGGATGATATGGACTTAGCATTGCTCTGTAGACTAGAAAATGTTTTGCAAATGTCAGAATTTTTTTTACTGTTGTTCTATCATAGTACTTTACATAAAAAAAGCCAAACCTATATAAATCTTGAACTGTTGATAATAACAGATACGGATGAACATGTATTTGTCCTCATTTGACCTTTCTTGGGTCTCTGCCATAGCCCATTCTCTTTCCTATACGTCAGTGATACAGAGCTTACATTCTTCTGGGGAAATGAACAGGCAAATAGCCATCAGGTGAACGTGTGGCCTTGAGGTGACCTGTGTATGCCAGAAGAAGGGAGGTAGTTCAAACAGGAAAATCAGTTCTGCAGAAGACAAGGGAAACCCCAAAGGCAAGGAACTGAGAAGCAGCATCACAGAAGGAACTGGGGTGTGGACAGCTGAGATCTGCATCATGCTCCAAGCTCAGTGCCCCTCTTGGTGCAGCCAGAGAACAAAGCCTGCTATTGTGAAATCTCCACATTAGAGGCCAAGGAGATGTCTTGTTTTGGCTCTCCCTGGTCACCTATCCACTTCTTAATGATTTCCAGGCAAAGTACATTTTCAACTTGAATTAATAATCAAGTACAGCTCTTTGTCATGAGGTAATATGTGATAGTTTCCCTGACATGATGCAGGGGAAAACTCTAGTGTTTGGAGACAAAAAAAATAAAATAAAATAAAATAAGTCAGTTCAAATCCTGGCTATGCCATTTTATGACTGTTTGGATGAGTCCACAGAAAACTATAGAATTTCTGCCTCTATGAATGTGGCTAGTCTAGGAATGTCAGATAAGAGGAATCACACATATTGACCTTTTGTGACTGACTGATTTATATAGCATAATGCCTTGAAGGTTCATCCATGTTGTAGCATGAAACAAAATATGCTTCCTGTTTGCACTCAATAATACTCCATTGTGGAGATATATCATGCTTTGTTTATCTACTTACCTGTCAACGAACACTTGAGTTACTTCTATCTCTCAGCTATTGTGAATAACACTGTGGGCATGGGTGTGCAAGCATCTGTTTGCTAGATCACATGGTAATTCTAAAGTCAATTTTTTTGAGGAATCACTGTAATGTTTTCCACAGAGGTTGCATCATTTTACATTCCCATCAACATCTTTTATTTTTAGAAGAAAAAACATATTTCTATGTTTTTAACTATTTTAAAGGGATCTCAACCTATGAAAACATTTTCTAGGAGTTCAATCTTTGCTTTGGCTTACTCAGTATTTCTTAATCAGTACTTCTTCAAGTGTTTTCCATGGTTGGTATAGCAAGAATAAAACAGTCAATGGCCAAAAAAATTACAAAATATTATATACTACATCCCTGCCTTAAATCTTCAAATCACACATTAACATGAATGCTCTGGTATATACATATATTTTTTAAATATGTGTTTTAAAAGCTAAAAATCTGCTATATTGTTATCCCTACAGAAAAGTAGAATAGAAAGTCATTTACAATTAACATCCATGATAGACTTGTTTTAAGATTAGCATTGTTTCCAAAGCTTTGGTTTTCTAACTCTGAAGAAGCACAGAAATGGAAAAAGTACCTTTTAGAACATATTCTACATAAATTTGCATAATTCAATTCCATGCTTTAAAGCATATTGTGTGAGAAGTGACTGCTAATGGATGTAAGTTTTCTTTGGGGGGGGTTTAAAATATTCTATAGTTGCACGCATTGAATTGCATACTTTGGTTAATTTTATAGTGTGCAAATTGTATCTTTTATAGCTATTAAAAATTATCATAGCTAGGTGCAGTGGTGCATACCTGTAATCCCACCACTCAGCAGGTAGAGGCAGGAGGATTGAGAGTTCCAAGCCTGCCTGGCCTACTGTGTCTCAAAAAATAAAAGTAAATTATTGTCATATTTATAAAGTTGTGACCCAGGTGACTCCCAGTCAAAATAACCAAGTTCTTTGCAGTGCAGTGCACAATGGATGATGGGTGAACTATCTAAGACAGGGTGTTCGAAATATGAAGCTGTATCTCTACTTTACAATTTTTAATTACAAAAATTCTAACAGATCAAATCTCTAAATGTGATGAAACAAGAGAATGAAGAGAAGAGAGCAAGAATGTTTTCCAGTATCTTAGATTGGGGAAAACCTAAACATAATAAAATGGACTTCAAAAAATGTTTTCATGGTAAAAAATATTTTTAATATACAAACTGGGGAAAATCATTTGCTGTTTTATCATGAACTATGTCAGATAAATAGATGTAAACATTCACTGCACTATTGTTTGTAATGACAAAAGAATGGAATTATCTCAAATGTCCAACAATAGGAAAGTGGTTAAACATAACAAATGCATATGGTGGATATTCTATAGCCACTGAAATAAAAGGGCAAAGTAGCTTTCTATATCTTTTTTATTATCATATTATTGTTGTACTGGGGGTACATTGTGACATTTACCAAAGTTCTTACACTATATCATAACTGTTTTAGGCAGTTGAACCTATTAATGACTAATACAAAAAACTATCCTCACAGAGTTGGTAGTCTATCAGGCAGAAATGTATAATGTAAAATAAAAATAGGGATAATCTAGTGAGTTAGGGATGTCTGAGAAAAATGGAGCAGGAAGGGGATAGTCAGAGGATGGAAAAGGCAGATTGGAATCAATGACAAGATGTCATTTGAGCAGTCTTCAAGAAAGAAGGGAGGAGGCAGGGCATGCTGGCACCTCCAGTTATGCAGAAGGTAGACAAAGGAGGATCATAGTTTGAGGCAGCCTGAGCAAAAGTTACCAAGACCGTATCTCAAAAAAAGCCAGGTGTGTTGATATGCAATCCCAGCTATGTAGGAGGCAGAGGTGTGAGGATCACAATCTGAAGCCAGTATGAGGCAAAAAGCTCGAGACCCCATATGAAAAATAACTGGGGCAAAAAAAAGGCTGAGGGTGTGGCATAAGTGGTAAAGTGCTTGCCTATCAAGCCCCGAGTTCAAATTCCAGTACCACCAAAAATAAATTAACAAAAGAAAGGGAGGGGAGAAAGGGAATCAGATGGTCATGTTGGTGAAGAGTGTTTTAGATGTGTGAAGACCCTAAGGCAGAGCACACCCAGTGTCTTGAGGAAAACCAAGGAATGTGACTGGCAGCAAGAAGATGGGAAGATAGAAGATGAAGTCAGGAAAGTAAGGAGGGCCATGGTACCAAGTAACGAGAAGATTTAGGCTCTTAAGTGAAATGAGAACCATTTGGGGAGGGAGCCGCTGTGGTTTTCCATTGTACACCACACGCCCCTGTCTACTGAACTGAGTCCCAGGCTTGAGCAATCACTACCATACAACATAACAGCACCCAATATCACCACACGTTGTTCTGTGTGGTGAGGAATGGTAATGGACAATAATTCTGTGTGCCTTTCAAAAAGTTCCAATTGAGGATGCTTGCAGCATTTAGACCATCATACAGACAATGTTCTTATGCATTCATCAACAAAAAAGCAATCCATTCATTCATGACAAATCCTCTCAGTTTTAATTTATTCCTTCCTTGGGCCCCTGTTACATACTTTCTTCCAATCACATCATTAAAACTTCTGCTTCCTCTGTCCACCCTCAGATAGACCCTTACCACACTCTTCTTCCAGACTGTTCCCCTGACGTCTGGCATTGTTGTGCCCTCACACCTCCTCCAGCTGACACAGCCCAAACTTCTTTCTCTCCAGATAATTTCATGGCCCTCACAGAAACACCTCCTGTCCTCTGCCCACAGCCTTCTATCCCATGTGAGCTAAACATCTCCTTCTGAGTAGCTTCTCTGAGCATGTCTCCACTTTTGCAACCCTTCTCAAAGTCTCCCCCAATCAGCCTTTTCTGAGAAAGAGGAACTAGCAATTTAATCAATGCATCCAGTTTTAACTGTGGCAAGGAGTGTGATAGAATATTCTTGCCATTTTCTTTCATCTGAGGCTTCTTTGGAAGGGTTAGTAGCATTATAAGAGCCATGGTGCTTGTCAGAAAGTACCTGAATCCCATGTGAATAATAGGATCAATAATTTTGAGATTGGGTTTGCACTGGTTTGGATAGGGATTAAGTGTATCCCCCAAGGGATACACTTAGAAGCTTGGTCCCCAGTTTGGGTGTATTAAGAGGTGGTGGGAGCTTTAGGGGATAGAGTCTACTAGAAAGTAGCAAGACAGGCCACTTTTTTTTTGCTCTGCTTTCTCTCTTGCCACATGTTGCAGACAAAGGGGCCCTTGCCAGAGTCAGCGGCATATGGTTTGGATTCTCAGCCTCCAAAACTGTGAGTTAAATAAACCTCTTTTCTTTTAAGTATCTTGCCTCAAATATTTCATTATAGTAGAAAAAACTAGACTAGTATAGTGTTATATGTCCAGTCCAGCAGACAGACCCTGATGCTTCTTGTTAATTTGTAGGGTACTAGTAACTGAGATTTGGTCAAGGATTTAGAGCCTCTATTTGGATAAGTTGCTTTAACTTTTCACTAATAAGATTTCTAGGAATCAGACTTATTTCAAAATCTCATGAGCACTCTGCATTTTCCTCAGTTTGTCATTCCTATGCTCTGGCACAATTCTAAGTCTAACTTCAACATTTTGCAATTTCTTCTTGGGAATCATAAAAGCAGTGTAGTGTACCTGTTTAATTTTCTGCAGTGGTTGTCAAAAAAAAAGAAATTCTATCTGATTGCTTTTCACATATTTTATAAATATTTCCCTTGGGAGTATATAGTCCAGATCAGCATTGTACAGATTTCTTATTAAAACATAGGTCCAACCATCCAAAAACTACTCATTTACACAACCACAGAACCACTTGTACATGTGCTTCCATTCAAGGAGCTGTTTATCCTAAGGTCCATTACCCTAAAAAAAAAAAAAAATGAGGTATCTCCAGCCTATGCCAGACCTCCTCCACCCTCTGCCTATGTGCCAGGATGTCATGCTAATAAATTGATGACCCAGTATTGGCGACTGCTGGGCTCTGTGGAGGGAGAACCCATTCTATTAGATGAGAGCTGAAGAGGACTGCTGCCTGCTTCTCTCAGAGTATGTGGCGCCATACATGGCTGAATGTCATACGGCTCTTTAATTGACCCCCAGTGCTAGTGGCTTAATGGGACACCACGGCATTATATCCTGCAGATTTTAAATTAAAGTTTGAGATTCCCCTCTGGACATGCACGGTACTCCACTTAACACTAATTGGCATCACACATAGTTATCAAGTGAAAAACATGGCTTTCCTAAAAATGCCTCTCCCTTTTTCCAGTTTCAAAAAGCCCATGAACTTTTAAAAAGTGATCATGGGAGCATACAAGGATTAGTTACAATGATGTCTATCAAGCATGGTATTTATGTTGCAGAACACTGGAAATAAATGTCTATAATGGGTGATTACATACACAAAGAATGCAATAATTTTAGTAGTATGAATGATTTTTAACATAACAAAACATTTATAATGTAATGCTAAGTGAAAAAAATTAAGGAAAAAATGTAAGCATGGCATGATATAACTTTTCTCAATAACATAAACAAAAAAGACTGAAAGGATGTATATATTCAGCTGCAATTATCTCTGGGTGGTGACCATAGCACCAATATTTATCTTATTCACTTGCATCTCTAATCTTCAATTTTTTTTAAAAACGCATTACTTTTGCAAAAAGAAATGGTCCTTTTTCAAAGTCTATCATTGATTCTTGCAGAATGAATGCAACAGATTTATTTTGAAATTGCTTTCATCAGTCCTCTACATCAATCCCTGGGTAGGACACTGAAGACGCTGTATCAATACTGCATTAATAGATGTCAATGGGATTTTGAGGGGAAACACTGAAGTGACTTGTATAAATGACCATCTTCATGTTTAGACTGAACAAATCATGACACCCCCCACCCTGAGAGGATGCATTTATGTCTATGTGTTTCTCTTCCAGAACCAAAGATGTTTGTCTTGCTCTATGTTACAAGTTTCGCCATTTGTGCAAGTGGACAACCGCGAGGCAATCAGGCCAAAGGAGAGAACTACTCCCCGAGGTATATCTGTAGCATCCCTGGCTTACCTGGACCTCCAGGACCCCCTGGAGCAAACGGTTCCCCTGGACCCCATGGTCGCATCGGCTTTCCAGGAAGAGACGGTAGAGACGGCAGGAAAGGAGAAAAGGGTGAAAAGGGCACTGCAGGTAATGACTGAAGTTCCATAAAGCATCCCTGCTTCCTCCCCCACCTTAAAAACCACTCCCTTCTTTGTTTCTTCTTCTACTGCGAATTGCTCTGTAAATCCCTTCTCTACTTCACCATTAATCATAACAATTTATTGAGCCCTTACTATCTTCAGACACTGCCTCTATCTTCACTCCACTGTAGTGACAGCCCTTTCGGGTGGACGTTATTACATAAGGAAGGCGAGAAGAATGAACCATGCTGTGACTAAATGGATTACTGGAGACGGTCCTGGATGGACGTGCACTGCTCCTGACTGCCAGAGCTAGAATCAAACATCCAATGTTTAGAACCACTGGGTTCTTCCAGCTCCAGACAATGGCTGGGTGTGTGCGTGCATGGAGAGACAAATGGGCAGATGGACAGGAGGAAAGATGTGCTGACTGAGCAGAGGCAGGAATGGGAAACCTGATGTCCAGTTTCATCCTGCTCGGAGCAGATATCCTGCATGAAGATACTGAGGGGCTCCTAGATTTTATTTTTCTCAGATGAAATGAAAATAGCAGGGTACAGTGATGAGCTTTTCTGGCTCACCACTTTCCTACCTGTCCTGTAGCAGCCAAAACTTAGATTTCTCATAGGCCTTTACAATAACACAATTATCCCCTAAACCTCTGGTAATTTTCACTTGCTCTCCAACATATAAGTTGGCCCGGGAAGGTTGCCAGACTCTGCAAGTCCTTTAGAGTAAACCGAATTGAAATTCTACAGCGGCTGTGTTAACTCTAAAAGAGGAAGGAATTTGGAATCAATCTTTGAAAGCAAGTTTCTAAGTGCAAAACTTGAGACAAAAGACAGGAAGGAAACAAATCAATAGATCTAAGAACTGTGCCTCTATCTAGTCATCACACCTGATTTACTGTGGGACAATATTATAATAAATATTCAGATCATCAGATGTTAATCAGATACGAATTTCCCATGCAGAAAACATTTGGCAAGTCAATAGCTGCTGGATCTATGAACGTTGCTCTGTATTAGATAAAGAGCCTCCAGGTTCAGCATCAGATAAAGACCCTTGAATTCAGAGCATAATCATCATTTTTCAAAGGCATCTGTTTATGAATACAAGTTATCACTGAGCCACAATTATTGAATATCCTTGAAATTTGGTAACAACACCAGGATTGCAGTTATATATTACCGACACTTTTAATTTACAGTGTCTGGAAGTAACAATATAGCAAGCACTGGAGTCAGAAAGATTTAGGATGAAGTTTTGACTCCAATTACTTAACTTAGTATCCTTAAGCAAATAGCCTTTTTAAGCCTCAGTTTCCTCATTTGTAAATTGGTGATAGTAAGGGCAATTGTGAGGTGTAAGAGCAATAAGGCATGCAAAACACTCCAAGTATAACTTGGAGTTATACTCCAAGTATAACTGCCATATAGTAAGCACTTCACAAATATTAGTGGTCCTTATATTTTGATCTGCAAATATGGGTCACAGATAAAATTTGACTACCCAAAGCCATATAGTAAACTAAAAATTATTAATCCTTTTCATGAGATAATTCTAGTGTCACTTCAGATTGAATTAGTTGTTCAGAATTGCTATGGTTTTAACCTCATGTGGGGCCAACTCTACCCCACACATCCAAGCAATAGTCATTCAGAGCTGTTTTGTTCTGCGCCAACGCGTCTTAACTTCTCACTAAAGACCATTGGGGCTGGATAGTTATTTACTGTGGAGTGGATATTCTGTGCCCTAAAAGATGTTTGGTGCATCACCCTAGACATCAGTGGCACCCCTCTCCACTGTGACATCCAAAAATGTCTTCAGCATTGCTGTCTGTCCCTTGCACAGGAAGTAGGCAGTGCAAAATTGTCCCTGCTTGAGAACACGCCCTAGACACTGTAAACACAATCATCAACAAGACACTGCTTGCCTTGAGAATGAGACATTTGTGCAGGGGAGGTCATGTGTATGGCATAATGATGACGTCTGTTTAGATCATTGCTGGGTGCTTCTATATAATCCCAGAGACAGAGAAAAGAGAGTCAAGGTTCGAGGTCGGTCCACGCAAAAACACAAGACCCTATCTGAAAAAGCAAAAGGAGTAAGGCTGTGGCCCAAGTAGAGTGGCTGAGTTCACAGCCCCCAGTGAAAGCTATTGCTACACATCAGGCACTTCTGTTTTATTCTTCGTTTTGTTTTGTTTTACTTTATTCTATTTCATTTTATTTTGGCAGTCCTGGGGTTTGAATTTGGAGCTTTGTACTTGGCAGGCAGGCATTCTTGCCACTTCAGACACAGCCCCAGTCCAGGAACCTTATAATATTTGTAATATTTATAAAATATTTAATATATACCATTATAATTAGCAATAATTTCAATTAGCAATAAGAATAAAGCTATGGGTAAAAAAATGAGATCCAAAATTAAAGTGAATTTCCCAACTTGAAATTATTTAAATCCTATATACACATATATATCAAGATATATAACAGCTCAGAAAGAAAAGGTTAGAATGACTACGGGATCAGTGAGGAGAAGCAAACCTAACACAGAAACTTGCAGGAACTATTCCCTTGGGCTCTGGGGACACGTTTTCAGTGCGGCTGCAAGTGAGCACACCAGGACTTGGAGCCTCTGGTCTGTTTTCCCTTTAATGGCATTGATCTTTTCACTTGTGTGCCCTTAGTGAACCCACCCACCATAGCCATCCCAACCAAGTCCAGGAAGAATCATCTTCCCTGCCCTAAACTTGATATGTAGAGTTCATTACACCAAATTATCAATTTTCCATAAAAATATCACTCTCACTGCTCTGTAGTAATTATTATTATAGCATATTATTGACATTTAATTAAATCTGAATGTGTGTCCCCATAAATATCTTAAATATCACTAGAACTATCTCATAAAATGATTCCTCACTTCAGTTTAATATATAGATGTAGGTATTAATGAGTATAGCTGTGACCAATATTTACAGAGCACAAAGCAATAAGTAATAACAGCAAACTTGAAGAGGAGGAAGTTGTCATGCAAGCCAATGTCACTCTTAGTCCCTACTACAGTGGCTGGCATATAGTGGATGGTCACTAAATATTAAATGGTCTACACATGCATGCATGCATAAATCCATAGGTGGATGGGTGGAGGAAGGAAGGAAGGAAGGAAAGAAGGAGGGAGGAAGAAAGAAGGGAGGGAAGGAGGAAGGAAGGAAGGAGGGAGGGAGGAAGGGAGGAAGGAAGGAAGGAGGGAGGGAGAGAACAAAGGCAGGAAGGAAGGAGAGAGGGAAGAAAGGAAGGGGGAAGGGAAGGAGGAAGGAAGGAAGGAGGGAGGGAAGGAAGGAAGGAAGAAGGGAAGGAAGGAAGGAAGGAAGGAGGGAGGGAGGGAGAGAACAAAGGGAGGAAGGAAGGAGAGAGGGAAGAAAGGAAGGGGGAAGGGAAGGAGGAAAGGAAGGAAGGAGGGAGGGACGGAAGGAAGGGGGAAGGGAAGGAGGGAAGGAAGGAAGGAGGGAGGGAAGGAAGGAAGGGGGAAGGGAAGGAGGGAAGGAAGGAAGGAGGGAGGGAAGGAAGGAAGGGGGAAGGGAAGGAGGGAAGGAAGGAAGGAGGGAGGGAGGAAGGAAGTAAGGAAGGAAGGAGGGAGGGAGAGAACAAAGGGAGGAAGGAAGGAGAGAGGGAAGAAAGGAAGGGGGAAGGGAAGGAAGGAAGGAAGGAGGGAGGGAAGGAAGGAAGGGGGAAGGGAAGGAGGGAAGGAAGGAAGGAAGGAGGGAAGGAAGGAAGGAAGAAGGGAAGGAGGGAAGGAAGGAAGGAGGGAGGGAAGGAAGGAAGGAAGAAGGGAAGGAGGGAAGGAAGGAAGGAGGGAGGGAAGGAAGGAAGGAAGGAAGAAGGGAAGGAAGGAAGGAAGGGTACAATGACACTGAACAGGTAACCTGGGTAAATACAGTTCATGGAAAATTCTGTCAAAGCTGTACTACTTAATCATAGACTGACCCTTAATTCTCTATTCAAGCGTATATCTGACTAAGGAGATGGAGAATGATTCGTTCCTTCGTCCTAGTCTTAATGTGTAGGCCCTTAGCTTATGGACAAATTCTTTATGCACAAAGGAAGAATTAATATAAATGATTAGTCCATGACTATCTATCACTCAGCAGTTCAGCACATTAAGTAAGTATTATCATAAAAAATCAATGTGTTGTGATTATCCCTGGTTTTTTTTAATTTGCATTCCTGTGCTTCTTATTTGGTCTCAATGAATTTTTTTTGTGCCCTCAAGCAATCTAGTCCAAATCTTCACTTCAAGGTCTGGGAAGCTAAAGCCAGAGAGATCAAGCTTCTTCTTCAGATTCAATAACTAATCCATGGCTGAAACAGGTTTTATCCTAGACTGCAGAGTCACTGTTGACTTCTTTGACACTAAGTTTGGAGTAGATTAAGTCCAATTTCTCCACACTCCAAATGGAGCATTTGAAACCAGGCAAGGAATGCCTTCCCCAAAATCACAGAGGCAGTAAGACTTGAGTCTTATTTATAGTTACTGAGACCAAAATGACTTTATTAATGTGTCAAAGATCAATGAAGAAGACAGAAAAGGCTGGCGGAGTAGCTCAAGTGGTAGAGTGCCTGCCTAGAAAGTGCAAAGTCCTGAGTTCAAACCCCAGTGCAGTCAAAAAAAAAAAAAAAGAAGACAGAAAAGTTAAGCTCCTACTGAAGATAAAATACCAATTTAGGAATTGCAGTCTTTGATTCTGCAGTAAATTTAACAACAAATAGTATTCATATGCTATTTCTACCCAAAAAAAGGAAATTTCAGACTCTTTTGACCTTATTTCAAGAAATAAGTATCAGAATGTGTTCTTGCTGGGACTAGTAGAGTTTCAATTTAGCAGCAAAAAAACATCTGCAGCTAGAGGACAGGACAGAGATCAGTAAGAACACTGATCCTAGCTCACCAAGAAAGGGTGACATTCACTATTAGTGATCAGTATGTGTCATAAATTATTAAACAACTACTTTCCAAAATTATCAAAACATAGTGCTGATATTTTAACAGTAAAGCTTCAATTCTCCTAAAATTTACATGACCCAGAACTCTCCATGATTACTTTGCCAATTAACTGAAAAAAGGGTCAAATTATCACATTCACACATTGACTTACGTGCAACTTTTAAATAAATAATATCAAAGCAATCTAAAGATAAAAAGACTTAGCTTAATAAAATTTCTTGAGAACAAAAACATAGTTAAAAGTGAAGCTATGCATCAGCAGTATATTTCCCTGACTACAAATTACATTAGTAATTAGTACATTACAGGTTACTAATAATTTAGATACCTTTGGGAAAGTATCTTTATACAAGTACTATTTATTAAATGGATTTAGTCATAAAAAATGAAACATCCTTTTTATGATACTCAGTCATTGCTGCTTAAAAATAAGCATATTTTGTTTATTACTCTCACCAAACTCACCTTTTCTCTGCATTTGGCGTCTAGTTGATCTGCAAAAATAAGATTTGGACATCCAAAAATAATCCTGTGTGGTGACCAAATTTGCTGAAATCCTTTCACAGTTACTATGTCTTTTCTGTATATAAGGAAACCCAGAGAAATTAATGGCCTTTCCTAAAAGGATAAAACCATATAGTGCAGACCCAACCAGAACTGGGATTCTTGAGTCCAGCCCCAAAGGTAAGAGGCATTTTTATGGCCTCTTACCATAAAATTAGACTAGGAAGGATTGGATTTTAGTCCTAACCTTACTACAGAAGCATGTTTCTTCACCTATCTAGAATGAGGTTTACTCTTCCAAAAAATAAATTACTGCATGGTGCTGGCAATCATCATTTTTTTATTATAGCATATTAAGCCATCAATATGGCAAGGAAGGCAACCAAGTAAGGGAGGCATAAGTTCAGATTGCAGCTCCATCACTCACTAATCATCGTCCTCTTGTTTTTTTTTTTTTGGGGGGGTGGTACTGAGGGTTGAACTCAGGGCCTCATGCTTGTTAGGTAGGCACTCTGCCACTTGAGCCATGCCTCCAGCCTTCATCCTGTCCTCTTAAACAAAATAACTTCTCCTTGGTTCAATTTCCTCATCTGCAAGGAAGTAATGGTAACTCTTAGTTCATAAAGTCATTGTGAGATTTAAATAAGGAACACATGCAAATAAAAGAGTTAATGGTATTCCTGGTACATAGAAAATTGTTGATAAATGTAAGCACACCTAATTGTGTGTTTTATACTAACAGAAATAGAATGGGGCATGAAACTAAATAGTCTCTAAAGATTTGTTTGGTGTATTTGTCCTTATGAATCCACTGTGGGGAACAAAATCATCCTTCTCATTGAATTATTCCCATAGTGACCAGTACCTGGATGTGCATAATTGAGCAGCAGATAATCCATCGTCAAAATGATAGTTAATTATTTTAATTAGTCAGGACCTAATGAAATTCTGATTTAAAATAATCTATTTTCATCTTTACTACATCATTGATTTTTTAAAAGGATTTATCATTTAGTAGTATGTTCTCAAGGTTGATGGAAAGACAAAGCTTGGGTGTGCTGAGACTGTGTAAGTATGCTGATTGTGATTCTTTCAAGAAGCTATTCATTCAACTATAATCTCTTTTTGAAGGTCTAAGAGGTAAGACTGGACCCTTGGGTCTTGCTGGAGAGAAAGGGGATCAAGGAGAGACTGGGAAGAAAGGACCCATGGGACCAGAGGGAGAGAAAGGAGAAGTAGGTCCAGTTGGGCCTCCTGGACCAAAGGGAGACCGAGGAGACCAAGGGGACCCAGGACTGCCTGGAATGTGCAGATGTGGAAGCATCGTTCTCAAATCAGCCTTTTCTGTTGGCATCACAACCAGCTACCCAGAAGAAAGACTACCAATAATATTTAACAAGGTCCTCTTCAACGAGGGGGAGCACTACAACCCTGCCACGGGGAAGTTCATCTGTGCTTTCCCAGGCATTTATTACTTTTCTTATGATATCACATTGGCCAATAAGCACCTTGCAATAGGGCTGGTCCACAATGGACAATACCGGATAAGGACCTTCGATGCCAACACGGGGAACCATGATGTGGCTTCTGGGTCCACAGTCATCTACCTGCAGCCAGAAGATGAAGTCTGGCTGGAGATCTTCTTCAATGACCAGAATGGCCTCTTCTCAGACCCAGGTTGGGCAGACAGCTTATTCTCTGGATTTCTCCTCTATGTTGACACGGATTACCTAGACTCCATATCAGAAGATGATGAACTGTGATCAGACGGTGGACCTAAATGTTCCAAGACCTCTGTAATGTTCTAACACTTTAATTTCATCTGGGGTGCTGGAAGGTGGATCAAGTAGGAAGGAGATCCAAAGAGACTCCTACTCAGATTCCCGATCATTTACAGACAGTTATGGAAGAATTTATCAAAACAAGATAAGCCACCAAGCAGTTGAAGCTACACCAAAATGAACAATATAAAGTAACTCCAGATATGCATTCTCTTGAAAATAATGTTTATAAATATTTAAACAAATTAAAGACAGTGTTAACAATTTTTTACTAAATGCCCTTAGTGATAATACCAGCTGGCCATGATAATGCCTCATTAAATCTTCATAAAATTATATTTTTGTTTGTTATTTAAGAGAATCATAAAATCCCAGACAAAGTCTTTGACAATTCTCAAAAGGCTATATATAATTCAAAAAACAGGTATAAGATGCTGAATATTTTTAAACAAATTAAAATAAAGTGATAAATTTCTTTGTTTTATTATTCATTCCTTCCTGCTTATGTATATTCACTCAAAAACTCTTTAAAGGACTGCATGGACTAGACACTATGGCACTGAGTCAGATTGAATAATGAGTTAAGACACACACCTTACCTTCATACAAACCAGTGTGGTGAACACAGCCACCAATCAATGTGACAAAACACGATGGCAAAAAAAAAAAAAATTGATTCCATGCTAGGGGCACACAGGACCTGTATGGACTTGGGATCAGAAGGGATTTACACATAGGCATACCTAGGAGTGTGTGTTAAAGTGGGTGTGATAGATACAAAGCCAAGAAGGAATTCAACTTCTGCATTCTCCTATTCCCACCTTCAACATATCACTGTTATTTCCATTTAGGAGGTAAAAAAAAAAAAAAAAAACAGAGAGAGAGGAGACCTGGGAGGGGTGATGGAAATGGAAAGAAATGGCCAATGGATCATTCTCCTAAATTATTTGGCTTGATGGTTTTCCAGGACAAATATTTGTCCTAACAGCTTTCTCACAGAAAAAGGGCACTATTTTAAAATTGTAAGACATTGTTTCTCATGAATTCCTGATCTTAAATTCAAATGAAGCAAAGCACATATCCACTGTTCTATGAGTGAGCTGAACAGCAGAAGGGAGAGAGGCCAAAAATCTGGGTAAATAGTTGTTCCTTCCAAGTCTTACACCTCCCTAATCTGCTCTCTCATCTATGTTGTCACTTTGTTATCCACTGAACTGAACTTCCTCCATTAACCTCACCCAGGATTCTGTCTCTTCTACCATTCCCTTGGTTCATGGTAGTCATTCCACTGTCTTTCTCTTTTGGTATCTTCCTATGCTCCTTCTATGTATCCCTCTCTTTACACATTAATTTAATAATTATTTTAATGTTTGCTATGTGTAAAACATCACGCTGTATTCTGTGAAGATAGAGTAACATCAAGATGAATGTGGCATAGCCTCTGCCACCAAATTTCTAAGGATACAAGAAATGACACGCACACATATAAAATTACTGACATTATGGAAAAGAACATGCTAAAATATGCCAAATGCTAAACTAACAAAACCAGACAAAATGCTATGAAAGAAGAGGAAATGTTTGCTTCCAAATTCTGAAGTGACAGAGAAAGGTTAGGGAAATCTCTGTCCTCTGGGCCTTAAGCGATGAGACTTAGAGTGGCCCAAGTTGGGGAAAGGACATAGAGTCAGAGGTAACAATGTAGACAAGGTATGGAAAGTGCAAACAGAGACTCAGGACAGGAATCAATGGACCGAATTTGTAAAAGCCATAAAGGCCAGCCTGAGGAGTGGGGACCTTCTTGACAATAAAGTGTGGAGCTCTTGAGTTTCCAGGACTGGATGCTACTATTATTAGAGGTGACATTTGCAGTGACTCTCCTGACTTTCAGACCGACCTTGCTCCACTGTCGTCTTCTGCCTGCCATACTCTGTCTACTTGTTGCTCTCCTGAGTCAGGTCATGGGCCTAGCAAACCAAAAGCAATGAGGATTAGATTAGACCAAGATGAGAGCACAGAGGTGATCTGAAATAGTCACCCGCCTACAGATAACAGCGGAAGGTAGACTTCCACATTATACAGCCAACACCAGCAGCTAATCTGAGATATATGAAAATATAGGCCCTTTGGAGCAATGGAATTTGTTAGAGGAATTGGAATGAGAAGTTATGTAGACAATCATGACCAACACGGTTATCGTGTAACTAAAATTTTCTGATTGTGAGCTATAATGAATTCATTTTTTTGCACAGAATTTGCTTTTCTTTTAAATGTTTCTTCAGTACAAAGCCTGTTTTGAGTAGTTTTTAAACTGAAGGTTTGTCCATTGGTCTTAGGCCAAGAGATAAATTTACTTTTGAAATATCTGGTGAGGTAGTGATGGAGACTACACAGCTGGAAGGAAATGAAAAGCAGTTTGGATATTAAAAAGAAAATCTTAAGCAAATGCTGGTGTCTTTTATTCTTTAAAAAAGTAGCAGGAATAATTGATGGAACTTATATGGATATTTGTATAAAGAAAATGGAAGACCAATTTTGTTTTAAAAAATCCAATTAGTCTCATTCTAATCCCTCTTTATAAGGATGCACTTATAATGAATATGTATTAAGTGATATTTATTGACTATGAATCATCTTGTTGTAGAAGAATTTAAAGCATCTTATAAAGATACACAGAATACAGAATGAAACAATAAGAATCAGGTGAGAAGAAAATGGCAAAACAAACAAAAAGGGCAAGGGTGAGGTAAATACAAAATCGTGTGTGCCTGAGCTACACATTCACCACACAGGCTTTCTGGGTCCACTCAGGCACCAGGGGATCCGCATCTTTTATCACTGTGAATAGTGTTGCTTATGGACAAAATAGATCCTATGAACCCTAAATATACTTTTTCTGTACCACTCTGTGAAAAAGATCATGAACATAAATAAATTCTAGCTATAAGCTCTCTTTTTGTTTTTTATCTTCCTCCCTTTCCTTTCGTTGCTCCACATGCAGTAAGTGGCAACACTACCCATGCTGCCACTGTAGCCCAAAGTCTAAGGTGCACTCTAGATGTCCTCTTTCCTCTCCCTACCAAATTCTTCTCAGCATAAAATTCCTACGGTTCTATCCCCTAATTGCATCTCTAATTCGTTATATCTCTGCACTCGCAATGCCAAAGCTTGATCCATATATTCATCATCACTCCCCTAGATCAGTTAAAAAAAACAAACTTTATAGCTGACCCATTGCCTCTAGCCACACCCTTTCAATCCATCCTCCACACTGGGCTGAATACTTCCTTTTTAAAAATTAAGAAAATGTGGTATCTATACACAATGGAATTGTATGCAGCCATGAAGAAGAACGAAATGTTATTATTCGCTGGTAAATGGATGGAATTGGAGAACATCATTCTGAGTGAGGTTAGCCTGGCCCAAAAGACCAAAAATCGTATGTTCTCCCTCATATGTGGACATTAGATCAAGGGCAAACACAACAATGGGATTAGACTATGAGCACATGATAAAAGCGAGAGCACACAAGGGAGGGGTGAGGATAGGTAAGACACCTAAAAAATTAGCTAGCATTTGTTGCCCTTAACGCAGAGAAACTAAAGCAGATACCTTAAAGCAACTGAGGCCAATAGGAAAAGGGGACCAGGAACTAGAGAAAAGGTGAGATCAAAAAGAATTAACCTAGAAGGTAACACACACACACAGGAAATTAATGTGAGTCAACTCCCTGTATAGCTATCCTTATCTCAACCAGCAAAAACCCTTGTTCCTTCCTATTATTGCTTATACTCTCTCTACAACAAAATTAGAAATAAGGGCAAAATAGTTTCTGCTGGATATTGTGGGGGTGGGGGGGAGAGGGAAGGGGTGGAGTGGGTGGTAAGGGAGGGGGTGGGGGCAGGGGGGAGAAACAAATAATAAAGAAAAAAATTTTCTTTATTTTATTTTTTTATTGTTGTGCTGGGTGGGGGTACATTGTGGCATTTACAAAAGCTCTTATAACATATCAAATATGTCATAGTTGAATTCACCTCCTCCATCATTCCCTTCATCCCCTCCTGGAGTAGTTTTAACAGGTATCAATTTTCCACTTACATAAATGTGTTCACAGTATTTGCACCATATTCACCCTCTCATGCCCTTTTCCCACTCCTCCCCCCTCCCACTGGTACCAACCCACTAGGCAGGACCTATTCCACCCTCCTGTTCCCTGGTTTTTTAAAATTCAAACCTGTTCATGTCACTATGCAGCTTAAAAACAAACAATGGCCCTTCTAATCTCGAAATAAAACAAAAAAGTCTTGAGCCTCTATGAATTTTGCTATTAGCTATGTGTTCTATGTCTTTTTCCTGAGATCTATACCTGACTTCCTTCTGAAGGCTCATCTTTCATTATCTTTATATGATAAGTCTTTGAGCTTCTCAGTGGAAATGACTCTCCCAAGAGGTAAACCTCTGACCTGATTAGTCAGAGCATAGCATTCCACTCACCAAAATAGTTGGCTCAGGTGACACAATCAGAGCCAGTGAGTGAGTTTGCTGAGACTTCTGTAGAACAAATTCACACTCTCTCTCATTACACTTGAGCTTGTGAGCCTCCAACCATCTTATCATCATGAAACATAAGACCATTTGAGGAGTCATCAATAGACGAAGCAGGGAGATGGAGACAAAGAAATTAAAAACAGCGTCATTCAAACATTGAAGTAAATACCCTTATAATAAAATCATCCCTTGGACTTCTCAGTTATGGTAGCCATTAAGTGTCATTTTAACTTAAGCTTTCTATGTATTTTGTCACTTGCAAAAGATGTAATCCTACCTAATAATAACATTAGCCCCCTTTATCATGACACATTGGGCCTTTGGGATCAACTTCTGTTTATTTTTATTTCCAGAAGTCACCCACAGATAACAATATAATACAAGAATATGCAAATAACTGCTGTTCTGGGATGCTTTGCCCTTATATGCCTCGGATCCTTTGCACGTGATGTTTCATTTGCTTCTAGTGCCATTAATGCCTGCGTCTGTCTGGCTAGTTCATCTTTCAAGGCTCAGTTCAAAAGTTACTTTCTTTCCTCTAATCTTTCCATTCCTGTGCACAAGAGGACCACTAGGTAACTTTGTGTATCTTCCTTACCATCTAGAAACTAGAGCAAAGTCACAGTAATAATAGTGAACACTTATTGAGCATCTTTTATATGGGTCATCAAACCTTGTCCTTGCTGTGGTCTTTATGTTACTGTCTCCTCAAAATTCATATGTTAAAATTTAACCACCATACAATAGCATTAAGAGATGGGACTTTTGGGAGGTAATTCA